TTCAGCCTTTGGGGGGTTCATTTTATAGACACAATGAAAAACTGATGTGTCTTGTGGGATGTTCTCCCAGATCTGTCTAAGGGCATCGATGAGCTCCTGTGAAGTCTGAGGAGCAACCCAGCGGCATCTGATGGACCAAAACATCTGATGCCCCGGAGGTGTTCTACCGGGTTTAGGTCGGGTGGCCGTGACGGCCTTTACATTGTATCAATTCCTTCATCCTCCAGGTCTTGTCTGCATACTCTTGCCACATGAGGCCAGACATTGTTTTGCATCAGGAGGAACCCAGGATGAACTGCACCAGCGTAGAGTCTGACCCTGGGTTCTTGCATTTCACCCAGACACCTGATGGCTGTCAGACTGCCGTTCCCTAGCCTGTAGAGGTCGAGCTACACGTTGCTGGGCAGTGAGCACAGGGCAGACTACACGCCCTGATCGGCGCCACCATCATGTTTCTGATAAATGGGGCAGAGACATTCACACCAGAGGCCCGCAGGAGGTCATTCTGTAGGGCTCAGGCAGTGCTTAACAGGTTCCTCCTTGCACAAAGCAGCAGATACTGATGAGTTGAGGACCTTCTACGGCCCCGTCCAGCTATCCCAGAGTAACTGGGATACTTTTCTGGAGACACATGAAATCTTCTTGCAACAGCACGCATGGATGTGCCATCCCAGAGGAGACAATCTGCACAACTTCTGTAGGGCTAAGAAATGGCCTCATGCTCCCAGTAGTGATCATATATTTTGGAGAAGTGAAATTCAATTCACGTCACACCCTGATTTTTTGAGTATTTGTATCCAGTACATACTGTATATATATAAATAGATGTTTATGTGGTTGATCCCAGCTGATTTTGGGCCAGAGACTGGCTAATTGCAGGGCTGACAGAGACAATAAACTGTGGAAAGGTAAAGTGATATATACTTACTAAAACTAATACTTGATTGTTTTTTAATTAAAAAACCCACTAAGGCTGGGTTGGCTCGTGTGCGGTAGGGTTTACAATATTCCTATAGAGGGGGACTTGGCAGACAAGGTTTGGGAACTACTTGTTTAAGAAGAGACTTTATTGAACCCTAAAGCGAATATAATAGGGAAAGTACAAAATAGGCCCTTCTTTACCAGTTGCAACACTAAAATTGCGTTTAACTATTAATGTCTTAATCATAATTGAAATAATTATATATATATCTTTCTGAAATGGGAGCATTTTAAGTATAAATTGATGGAAATACTCTTGTTCAGGTTCGACTCTTGATATATAACCAAAGCATGCTTTGTATTTGTTGTTCCACTATTGAGGGCTTAGGTTGCACAGCAATTATTCGGTACAGATTGTATAATTTATTCAAGAGGCGAAAAAATACGCAGCTGAGCAACAAACTGCCATTTTAATTTGAAAGCACAGAATAAGGTGAACACTGTGAAAAAAACAAATCAACATCATGGGCGGTCCTGCAAAAAGTACAATGTGAAATACATGACAAATATATCAGTCAGTACAGTGTAATATCTGACATACGGTCCTTAAGGTACCAAACACATTGAAGTTTTCTCTTAACAGTTGGCTTTGCTTCAAAAAAGGCCCCTTTGCATTCTCCCCAGTGCGTTTATAATCACGAGTTCATTCTGCTCAAATGCAGAGCTGTCTGCCACACAAGCAACACAAATATTAATGTTATGTTATTATGTAAAGACGTTATCTTTAAATAGGCTTCTTGGCATTTAACTACAAAAGGGCGTGCTCAATATCCATTTTTATATTTGTCTATAAAGATCGTTTAGTCAAATCATTCCAGTTAGGTGTCATAGGTATGAGAACTGCGCTCTCCATGAGTTTGAGAAATAAAATCAGAGAGATAAAACACTCAAAGCTTTGGAAGTTAAAGCTCTGATATGTTACATTTGAAAGTAAGATGGATATTGAAGAATAGTTACAGTATCCTGTAGGGGTATAACGATTCATTCACTGAATCGATTAATCGATTAATATTCCTGCGATCTAACTCAATCGATCTCGATATATGTCGTCCGGAATCGGCATTCCGGACGACATATATCGATTACAAATCGATTTAAATGGTACATAATCGATTGTATTGATAGTTGGAAACTGCACATTGGATTTAAGCACAAAAACTGTATGGATGCGTGTTTGTTTGTTTGTTTTTAGCACTTCAGACACGTTAAACGTTACTCGATTCAGTCTGCCTGTCTGTGACGTCATCAGTACGCAGCGGCAGCCGCGCGAAACTCAGAACAACAACAAAACACAGCGTGGAGGAGACGACTGCGAGCGAGACATTTACAAACCAACTCATCGATCCAGCGCGTGGAAACATTTGGGCTTTTGCAAACACGGAGGTGTTCTAAATAAGTTGGTCGCTGTTTGTAGAATATGTAGAAGCCAAATAAAAAACCACTGAAACACGACGAATCTTCCCGGCCTTCTACTAAGGCGCCGTGGGATTGAACAACGCCGACCGTCAGGACCTCTAGCAGCGTCACCGCTGCAGCAGCAGCAGGTAACTCAGCTCTGCAGACACCTCAGGCCTCGCCAGCACCAAACTCAACATCACAGTAACAATTGCCAAGTTTAGCTGTAAAGACATGCGACCCTACAATGTGGTTGAAAATCCAGGGTTCTGTAAATTCATCCAAACTTTGTGTAATTATTGTGTAATGTTTACATTGAAAATGTCACTTGATTAAAATAAAAGGTTAATACATTTGCCATTAATTGTTGTTTGCTTGTTTATAATATCCATCATTAATTTAAACCTTATTTCCTTACTAGGAAACAACGGGGATCTCAGAAACTTTGCCTGCACTGTCCAGTAAAGTTACTGAATCGAATCGTTCTAAATGAACCCAGATTGTCCATTAATCAAATCGGCAACCATGAATCGTGATTCGAATCGAAGTTAAAATGAATTGTTGCACCCCTAGTATCCTGTTTAAAGTTTAAACTTGTGGTCCGGCTCAGGACGCGGGGGGTCTCCAACAAGAAGCCGCTTCAAAGAATATGTGAATGTAATTTATTCAAATAGTATCCAACCTAATACACAGACACCCTGCTCCCATTCAAGGGTAAATATTTGCCAAGTTGCTTTGCAGTGACGCCGACACGAGATGTTGGCAGACAAACAAGAGCACACCAAATTTGACAATGGAATGTTTTAAAGTGATTTGGCTCGTATATGAAGGACATGTGCGTCTCATTCATGCAGCGAGCGTGTCAGCATTGGATGTCACGTGATGAGAGAAGGGACTGGCTGCCGTCTACAAACAGAAAAAGAGCTGAAAACAAGAAGGCATAAATAACAGTGGCGTCTCTGTCCACCAAAGCGACTAATAAGGCCTACGTGACAACAGAGACTTCATTTAGTGTCGCACATCCGAATGGCTGCTCAGCAAAAAAGGACCATAAAAGTTAGACAGAAATGATGTCGCTGTTGACAATGTAGAACCATGAGTAGCTCTCGGACACTTTAATAGAGTCAAATTAGCTCTCAGATGAAAAAGCACTATGGGGCCCCGTTGTTAGATGATAGGATTTAGCAGGGAATCGAATCCCTGCTGCGGACTTCCGGCGCGCTGATTTTTACAATATAGAACGAGAACAAGAAGGAAGCTTGAAAGCGGAAAGCAAAGCAAAGGATATCGTCACTGTACTTCAAACAATCAGGTTGAAGCAGCAGCTGCCCTGAAAGGTGTATTTTGCATTACACAAAGATGGTGGTCCTAATGACTTCAGAGTGGACGACAGACAATTGATACAAACCGAACTGGACCATCCGGGTTACTGCTCATCTACTCATGAGAGATTTTTTAAGTTTAAAATGAAATCCGTCTTTGAATGTCCTTTTTTAAAAACCCATCACATTTCCTCTCGGTGCTGTTGAAAACTCCGCGTGGACGAGTCAGAAGTGCAGCAGCATAAAGGCACTGTGTTGTTTCTACAAGCCAACACAAGGAAATCCAAGAGAAATTACAAGCGAGTCGATGACCTTTTTTTTTCTCGTCCAAATAAAAAAAACTAAATCGATGCAGGCAGGAGATGGAGGTGTGCGTTGACTTCCAAACACCAATAAAGGTTTCACTGAAATCTGTCACACAGAGAATCCAGCGAGCATCCGGGAGGAGGAGGGGGGGGGGGCCTTCACCTGAGGGGGCGGGACCAGGAGCAAAGGTCACGCAGTAGTGAGCGAGTTCTCTGAGGGCAATGTGGTTGGTTTGTTCAACACTCGTACGGTCAGCGCACACACATGAGCGCACATATACAACTCAAAATGATGACAAAGTAAATGAAAAAGTGGATGTAGCGTAGAAGGTAGAAAATAAATATCAAAAGCAGATCGACGAAAGCTGCGTTTCGTGTGAGAACGGCGAATACGTTGTTGCATGCAGCGGTGGGTTCAATTAGCTTAGCATAACATCTGGAAAACAAAAGGAAAACAGCCCGCCTAGCTTGCCTAAAAGGTAACGTACCAGTACCGTTCCAGCTCAGTAATTAACACAGCGTGTGTTTAATCGCTACACTCAGCATGCAGTGATTCTGATTTAAGAATAGAGTGAGCCTACTTAGTGTGGAGGGGGCAAACAAACACAGCACTTTCGTCCAGGAGACAAACCTAAAAAGGAAAGTTGTGATCTGGTCTGTTGGGGTCCGATGGGCCGACCAATGGGCTGTCCTGATTCTAACCACTAGTCAATGGCTGAACCAATCGGCGCTGTCTCACTGCATCGAACGTTAATAAAAGCACACAAAGCGAAGACCCACAGGGCGCTCCCTTTGTTGAGGGTACGTGTGGGAGGGGCAGCATATCAGAGCCATCATGTGAGGAGAGAAAACGTATTTACATCGTGGTTAAGGGTCTTTATGATGTGCCAAATTGTAAGAGAGAATAATCAGGGGTTGTGGTCAGCATGTGAATGCCGACTCTCGTGTTACAGCCGTTCATCTGTGCAAGAAAACAGAAAAGGCCTGTAAAAAGAAGTGTAAAGGAATGTTCCACTTTTAATAGCTAACGGTGTAACAGAGAACCAACAGGAGCCTCTCCAGACATTCACTCGTCCTCACAACAACACAGAAAGCCACTCGGTATGAACAAAAATAGATTTGTGCTTGGCTCTGCTTGCTCGCTTTGATCCACGATTAGCCAGAAAGGTCTGAGAAAGACTTGAGTTTAGTTTGGTTCGTTCCACTCGAATCCATTTTCTACACGTTACAAACTGTACACAGGCGGCGCGGAATGTCCGGCTGAAAGGCGCAGCGTCGCCCCCCTAGTAGTTGACCTCGTAGACGGTGGCCTTCTTGTCTCCCGAGCCCGTCACGATGTACTTGTCGTCTGCGGAGATGTCGCAGCTCAGCACCGAGGACGACTCCTTCGACTGTTGGGGACAAAAGAGGCGTGAACAAACGAAGGCCGCTTGCCTTTATTGGCGTTCTCGCGGCACATCCTTCCACACACTTACTTGGAATATGCTGGCTCCATACGGGGTTCTCCATGCGTTGAGCAGATTGTCTTTTCCCGTGCTCACGAACCACTTACCTGCAGAGGACAACAAACCGCATAAGGCAACGTCAAGGAATGATGTTCGCTCCTAATTTGTCTCAATGAAATGAGGGCTTCAGACTTGTGGTGGTAGAGGAGACGGTAGAACGGTATTTATAATTAACAGAGGGTAACAAAAAAATAGCTGGAAATATATTTTTATCTAATGAGAGGTCACTTACATAATAAATCTGAATGTATATCATTATATCATCATCCATCTGTTATAACGTAGTAACCTTCTTTGTAGAATTTTACACAATACTGGACTGACAGACACACCCTTCAAAATAAGAGATATTTGGGACATTTAACCATTGAGTGATCACAATGTAAACATCAGTGTTTTTTCATGACATTTGTCCCTGTAAATTATAACATACTGGTGCTTTCTGGCTTATTCAAGCTCAACCACAAGTCTTGATCTTCACAATAAAAAAGTAATTATTGGCTTGTATTTTCTTGTTCCATTCGGATGTCGTTTACAATTTACATTTTGTAATCACGTTTCCTACATAAAGCTGACACATTTAATCACATTCTCCTATTATTTACTTAATACATAACCCTATAAACCTTCTACAAATTCTAATTCCCTGCATAATATCACACCACGTATGCCTAAATTACAGTTGTCATCAATTCACACAGAATTTGATCGAGTCAATCGAGACTCGGTACGCAGCGGAATCAAATTTCCCCTCAAGCCCTTTTCAAAAAACACTGTTTGTGATTCTTACCACAGTGAGCAAACCGGAGTGAGAGCACGCAACTCTCGTGCAGGTGGAGCTGGTACTTGTCAGGCTTGGTGACGTGCAGGACCTCCACGTTATTGTTCTCCATCCCGACTGCCAGCCACTCGCCCGTTGGACAGTAACCCAGTGAGAAGATCTGCAGCAAACAGCAAAAGCCAAGAGCTACGGTGGTCAGAACTATTATAGTGTATGTGAATACAAAACACAATCTCTCATTACTGCGACTGCTGTTATCGCCTTGTGAGTATGTGTTTGTCATCATGAGGTCACGGCATGGTGGAAGTTGCAAGTTTTGATCAGTTGAAAAATAACATTTGTATGCGTGTCTAGGTGTTTCGGTTTGATTTATATTGCTAGACAGCTAGACAGACAAAGTCTAAACCTGAAAGGGTTACTGAAAAACTGAGAAATAGAGGAAAAAGGATTGTGAAAATAAATATTTTATTCAAAACAATTGAAGAACTGAATCAACATTATATTTGATCTAAAAATACTTTTCATTCACTTGTTGCATTTGTCAAGACTTCCAGATTAAATTTTCTTATTCAAATGAACAAAACTTTTGTTCAGTATTTGACTCCATAGAAGTTCATTCTGCTTCCACGTTCAAAGGGATGGCGTCACTGACTTCCACAGGCTGGAGTAGAGATGAAGGCATCGTGGTCCAGGAGTCAGACGTTGGGGGCAGAGAGTGGACAAGGGGACGCCACCACCACCACCACCACCCGCCTTCCCTCCCCAGGGCCCGACTGCCGTGGCTGCTAGTTTAGTCCCATCACAAGATGGTGTCTAGCATTAGCTCCCTATTTTTTCAGTGCTTTAAAGAAGACTGTGTTCGTCTGCGGGGGCGGCCACTGATATCAACATATTCATGGGTGCTGGCGAACATCCGCTGCTGTACTTTTCAACACTACGCCTTTCATACTAATCTGTCAAAACAGATGGATTTTTCTTCAGTTTCAAAAATCATATTAGGTATGCAACCTATCCTGCCAGCGGCAATTACGCATCATGAAATGAGGTGTGTGACTGATTTCAGTGAAATCAAATTTTTTAGACACATCACAACAATATTTTTCCCAGATGATGAAGACGACTGAGGGCACCCGGTAAACACAATTGCATTTCTTTACATTGCCAAATTGCTGGAGCTTTTTTTTTTTTTTTTTTTACAGAGGGTGGAGGGTGAGTCAGGAGGGGAGGGTTTGAACAGATTTAGGATAGCGTTAGCAATCTATGTCTCTGCCGGTCTGCCTTTGAGCACAACCACCTCCTCCCTGAGCTCTTTTAAAGAAAATTGCTGCAATGGCCCATTATTGCTACTCTCTTCCTGACCCGAAAAAATAACTAAATATCTAACTGCCAGTGTTATTAGTGTTAACGGTATTTCAGTAAAGTGCAGAAAACCGGAGCTCGGTCTGGCCTTTAAGGCGGGGTTAAACGTTCTGAACTGAGCTTCTGAATTACTGCAATGAAGCAAAAAGCAGAGTCCAATCACACAGACGGGGACTTTTACGGAGTTAAATCACAAAAATAATATAAAATGATGCAAAACCAAACGTATATGCGACATACACCTAAAAGTAATTATTCTTCAATAAAAATTACTACCAATGTACGCATTTATTTAATAAAATAGACCAGATCGGCTACAACAGCTTCATGCACTAGTTTGATTATTTGCCGTTTCGTGCCAATGAAAAGTTCCATGTTTACCAGCACAGCTCGCTCGGAGCGTCGGTACTGTAAAACGTCAAATAATGTTAATAATATTTGTCTCAATCACTGAATGAAGCCCGCCATATTTGGGACAAGAACCGCGACATTAAACTGCTTGCATAAAACTCTTGATCAGCACTCAGCATTTGTTTTATCGTTGTCGTTCATGTAAATCACTATGCGCAGGCATAACGATTTAAATTAACTTAAAGAGAGAGAGAGAAAGAGAGTGTGTGTGTGTGTGTGTGTGTGTGTGTGTGTGTGTGTGTGTGTGTGTGCGTGTGTGCAAGCGAGAGGTCTGCGGTCTTGTCCATTAGTTCATTTACTTATTTTTGTGTAGGTAATATGTTGTTAAATATGTTTAAACTTAAATAAATGACCTATACAAGTAGTTATGTCTCGTTGTATTCATTTTTCCTGTTGTTGACGTGTTTAATGCGCAACCAGATATTCAAATATATGTGTTTTCTTAAAGCGATTTTGAGCAATTTTGACAGCCCTAGTGTGGTCACAGCACCAACACGTTTATGTGATAAACAAAAACCTTCTCTTGTACCTGTGAAGTGAAGTCGTGCTGCTGCAGCTGCCGTCCCTCTCTCAGGTCCCAGGACCGCACGGTGTTGTCCAGGCCTCCAGTCCACAGCTTGGTGCCATCATTAGAGATGTCTATGCAACTGGCTCCGTCGGTGTGGCCCTGGAACTGCCTGCCAAACAACATCAGAAGGAAAAGGGACAGAGGTGTTGACATGTGTCATATCTTGGAGGGAAGAAAAAAGAACTCAGGTTTGCAAGATTTGTTGACAAAGTTGACAAATACTGAACAACCATCTCCGGGAATCAATAAATCATCAACTGTCGCTTGCGGGTAAAGTGTGGACTCTAAAGTTGGTGCCATTGGGTGTTGTAGCTATCTCCAGATTAATTATGTAAAGTTAAGACAAGACGTTGAAAAATCATGGTTTCTTCCCCCCCCCCGAGCTCCATACCTAACCAACGTCTGGTTGTGCAGATCCCACACAGCGATGTTTCCGTCGGAGCAGCAGGAGAAGCAGACCTTGGAGTCGGGGCTGATGGCCAAAGCGTAGCACGCTGGCGCAGACGAAGTCAGCTCGGCCTTGATCCGTGGAGTCGGCGTGGCCCAATCCCAGATGGAGAGGGTACTCGCCTCGCCCCCGACGATGAGGGTCCGCCCGTCGGGGAGTAGCCGACAGGAGCGGATGTAGTTGTCTCTGTTCTGTGGGACAGACGCACACAGGGTACTTTTGTCATTAAAGCAGCACCACTTTCATGTATGAAGAAGCCCATGCCGGGAAGCCACACTTACGAGGCAGTCCAGCTGGGACACGGGGGTCCTGTTTTCTCGGGTGACTGATGTCCCACACCCTTGACGCCTCCCCTGCCACCGGTGTAGACGTGCCGCGTGGGGTTGCTAATGGTTACGGCGCACACCACATCTCTCTGGCCGAGGGTGTTGAGTAGAGAGTATGAGCGATATGTGACAAAGAAAGAGGGAGAAAAAAGGATTTATTCACATACGGTTTTCCCCCGGGAATGCCTGACAAGTTAGGGGGAAGGACGGGGACACGTATGTGGTGGTGAGGATCAAATCCCACCTAGAGAATATGAGAAAAAAGATTAGAATACAAACCGTAAACAGAGCAATTATACTCTAACTAGAGCCGGTGTAGCTGGACAACTATCGGTGAGTAAAAGGGACTGAGCAGAGATAATAATCTGATTGCAGGTTCTGACAGACAGTTGATGCTGCAACCCTCTTATGTAAATCAGACACTCATCCCCTTGATTTAATGTTGATGGTTTTGTCCTGCAAATCACCCAACTAGTACTGACTGAGCATTTATCCAAAGATACAGTGGGGAGAACAATGTACCGATGTGCCGATTTTGCAGCTTTTCCCACTTACAAAGCATACTCTTGAACTGTGAGTGACGGAATCTGAAACAAATCCAGAAAATCTAGAAAATCACATTGTATGAGTTAAAAAAATTGATTTTGCAGTTTATTGCATGATATAAGTATTTGATCACCTACCAACCAGTAAGAATTCCGGCTCTCACAGACCTGTTAGTTTGTCTTTAGGAAGCCCTCCTGTTCTCCACAAATATTAACTGCACCTGTTTGAACTTGTTACCTGTATAAGAGACACCTGTCCACACACTCAATCAAACGGACTCCAACCGCTCCACAATGGCCAGAGAGCTGTGTTTTGGACATCAGGGAAGAAAGTTTTTCCTTTAGTTAGCACGTCTTTATTTCTTTCTTCTGTGTTGACAGGACATGTACCACAGTCCTTCAAGGTAGCTGTAATTAAACCTCTTCTTAAGAAACCTACTGTTGCTCCAGAGGTGTTGGCTAACTACAGACCTGTCTCTAATCTTCCCTTCCTCTCTAAGATCCTTGAGAAATCCGTTGCAAATCAATTATGTGACTTTCTACAAAACAATGCTTAGTTCGAGGATTTCCAGTCAGTCAGTCAGGATCACAGTACAGAAACAGCACTGGTGAAAATGACAAATTATCTCTTTTTCTGGACCTCAGTGCCACATTTGACACCATTGATCATTGTATCCTGTTGCAGAGACTAGAACATTTGATTGGTATCAAAGGAACTGCACTCAGCTGGTTTAAATCCTACTTGTCGGATCAATCCCAGTTTGTGCTTGTAAACGGTGAATCCTCGATGACCACCAGTGTTGGTCACGGAGTCCCACAAGGTTCTGTACTTGGACCGATTTTATTCACCCTCTATATGCTTCCTTTGGCCGACATTATCAGAAAACGACGCATTAACTTCCATTGTTATGCAGACGATACTCAACTGTATCTGTCAATCAAGGCCGAAAAGAGATGGACCAGCTAGTTAGACTTCAAGAATGTCTTGGAGACGTCAAAACTTGACACCTGCTGCTGCCATCGTCATCATTATTCTTTTAAATATTAATCATATTACTATTACGGTCATCATAAACCAACATTACCCTTTCCAGGCAAGATCTCACCTCGTGGGGCATCAATGATCATGAGGAAGGTGAGGGATCTGCCCAGAACTACACGGTACGACCTGGTAAACGACCTGAAGAGAGCTCGGACCACAGTCTCAAGGAAAACCATGAAGTCTTCTTGGCCAACAACCTCCGTCCCTCAGTAAGAGCGTTGAAGATGGGTGTTCCAGCATGACGACGACCCGAAACACACAGCCAGGGCAACTAAGAAGTGGCTCCGTAAGAAGCATCTCAAGGTCCTGGAGTGGCCGAGCCCGTCTCCAGACCTGAGCCCAATAGAACATCTTTGGAGGGAGCTGGAAGTCCAGAAACCTAAAGGATCTGGAGAAGGTCTGTATGGAGGAAGGGGCCCAAATCCCTGCTGCACTGTGTGCAAACCTGGTCAAGAACTACAGGAAACGTATGATGCCTGTAATTGCAAACAAAGGTTTCTGTACTAAATATTAAGTTTGGCTTTTCTGATGTATCAAATACTTATGTCATGCAATAAACTGCAAAATATATTTTTTTAAATCATACAATGTGATTTCTGGATTTGTTTTAGATTCTGTCACTCACAGTTGAAGACTACCTATGATGAAATGATAATGACTCCTACTACATGCTTTGTAAGTGTATCAAATACTTGTCCTCCCCTGTGTGTGTCTGTAAGCCACCCAATAAAATAATACCCTCACTCGTGGCACATTTCCCCCAGGTTCTTCTTCTTCATCTATTCTAATCAAACATCTGGTCCCAACAGTTTTGAATTCAGCCAAGAAAATGAAATGTCATTGTTATATTTAGAATGAGAATCAAAAGGGAGGGAAATAATTAGAATTCTTAAACAACACAATATGATGGCAATTGGCATAATTTGAATAAAATATTCATTAAATGTCTTCTCTAGTGTTGAAATAAGAATGAAACATGAAGTTGTTTCAGTTTTTTGGAATCTACAACCCCACCACTAGATGTCACCGTATCCTGCACACAACAGCTTTAAAAGTTCTCTTCAATATTTTCTGAGCATTATTAATGCAGCAGCTATTGGCTATATAAAGATACAGTGGGGTGATGCCTGAGACTTTTAGTTGTGACAGCACTGTTAGCATGCGCGGTTTGCGCTTTTAGTCGTCCCCATGTCGAGAGCCATGATCTGAATTTTGTAATGAACGCCATCATTTATTTTTTGCTCTTGTTTACCAATCCTTTGGAAAAACGTGTGCATTTCGGGTACCACTTGTGTGCGTCCGTAAGCCGCCACAGCAGCGGCGGCCACCGCGCTCATCTGAGGAGAAATGCCGTGCAGGCCGGCGTAGGCTGCCCCGGCTCCGCTCAGCTCCCCGTTCATTCCCGGGTGGGGAACCAACCCAAAGGGACTGGGGTACGGGCAGGGCACCGCCAGGGGGGTGCGGAGACCAGGAGCTACGAAGACAGAAAACACGGTCTTGCGCGTTTGCGTCGGAGCCGACAGGACGAGTGTTGTGCTCCGTTTGAAACACTCACCCAGAGCCTCGACTCCCGGGGGTTTGCCGGGTGCGGACCTCAGGCCCAGGGTGGAGGCGCTGCTCGGCGTCGGGCCGTCGGAGCGGGAGGTGGGGGTGCTGGACTTGGACCCCGGTGTTGTGGACTTCTCATTCTACAGCACAAGAGACACTAGGCTACACATCCCTGTGCAGGGGGGGGGGTTCAAGTTAAGAGTTCAATGGTGAGGGAAGAACCATTAAATAATAGAGGAGAGCTTATGACCCACAAGGTATTCTGCACCGTATAATCCAGGGTTTATCGGCTTCTTTACCAACAGGATTGTTGCCTTCTTACTAAAAACAGAGAAGTACCCAGAGAAATGACAAACTGGATGATCCGTGGCTAGAATTCCCCCGATGACTCACCGAACTAATCTCTTTGCATTGGAAGTAGGCGTGCTGCTGGAGAAGGCGACGAAGACGGACTCAGCGGCGCCTCCATTCTTCGTCAGGCGGCTCTTGTCCAATCCGTTTTCCCGAAGACGAGTGAGCAGGACTCCCTCTGAGAGACGCCTGATCCTGCGGCAGGGCGAGCAGGAGCCAAGATGAGAGCAGAAAGGTGGATCTTATCTTTTGAGTTTTCTTTCTTTCTTTCGTTTCTAAAACAAAACAGTTCATTGTACCTCGTTGGGAGACGTCCACCACCAAGTTGTCGTCGCTCTTCTCGCCGTCACTTTCCTGCCGAACAGGTAAAGAACATGAGTGTGACTTTCACTCTGTGGTGACAACATCCTTGGAACTAGATTCACACACATACAGTGAAAGCACATTTTCTTGTGTGTGTCTGAATTCAAAATGGAGAAAAACACAAAAACTTCTACTGTAGTTCAAAACATTTTCAGTTTCATTCTATTTATTTGACAGTACATAAAATAGAAATTGCACATACAGTCATAAAAAGGGTGATCATAAAATCAAGGATTTAATTAATGCTGTTATAGATGACCACATAGACTATTTTAATTGTCTAATTCTTCCTTTTCTTATTATCAGATAAAGTGGTCCAAATGGTTCCATTGTGTATCCCCCAGAAGGCTCGTTTGGCTGAAGAACAAGTTGTGGAGTGCAACGAGCTGCGATCGGATCCAAGCTTCGCCCTTTGACGTGCCAGTTCTCTCAATGTGCTGTCCAAAGGGGATTTAACAAGTGCGGGTTTGAATGTCGCTCATGTGGAGGGAAAACGTTTAAGTTCTCACTCCTCTGTTTGTCAGGATCCGATATATTTGTATACAAAATCCGATATATCTATATATATATATATATATATATATATATATATATATATATATATATATATATATATATAGTCTAAAAGTGATGTAAATGCAGTTTTGACCACCAGAAATGAAATAAATGAAATAAAGTTTCCCCTAGAAACAGCACATTGAAACAAACTAAACGAGTTTCAGTTCGCATCCATGTCTGTCCATAATGTCGCCACTTCAGAATTTAATGTTTAATTTTAATCTTGGTTAATGGTGTTCTGTCAGGTTGTGGAGACCTCTAACCACGATCATATAATATACATAACAAGTGGAGTCTAAGAAAATAACTGTACTGACACGATTTATTCCCTCAGTGAACATTGTAAACATGAGTTTATGGATTCGATCTCTAGTCTTCTTTGACACGACATGATGTCAATTTAGTAAATGATGGTCCATTTAAAGTCAAACAGCCTGTCATGATACTACTGGCTGTAAGAAACCATGATGGCGACTGACAACACGCCACTGTGACTTCATCTCATTCAGGTCATGCAGTCCTTCGTGCTGACTCACATAGCGCGTCGAGGACAACTCCTTCTCTTCGGTCTTCTGTTTCTTGCTGTCGGAGGAGTAATCGCTCAAACCTCTGTGCTTCTCGCGGTTCCGAAAACTGGCCGAGGGAGAAACGGATGAGCTCTGGAAGAGACGAGAACCAGATACTTGGAAGATGAAAAGAAATGTTTGATGAGAAACCAGGTGTGTAACATGCTTACATTACTGCTGCACTCTTAAGCCAGGTGCTTTTCTCTCATTTGCACCTCTGGACTTGCTATGAATTGTGGGAGAATCTCCATCCATCCATGTCTCTCTCTTCTCTTAATCAAATTGAAACAACGTGGCTGAAGGATTAATCCTTTCTAAGAGGCAAAGAGGCCTCCTCCCCTCTCGCTCGGCCCCCTCCCTGCTGATCTCTCTCACCCCCTCCCTCATTGGGAGCCCCCCCTCCCTCACATGGCGAACGCAGAGAGCAAAAAAAAATCACGACCTTTAACTCGACCTTTCCACTAACTCACGCTCGCAACCTTTCCCGCTGCCCTTTGCTGTTCTGCAAGTGTCAATGACAAAGATTCCGTGTGCGGGGGGGCGGGGGGGAGGGCGTGCGGTCTGCTGCCACTTGCACCAGTTTAATTTGCAGTGTGTGCAAACAGAGTTGACATGTGTGTCTGTACATAGGTGTCTCTCCTCTACACCACCTCCTCCGCCCCCTCCATCCCCTCCTCTCCAGGCCGATTACAATAATTAGCTTGTAAATTAGCTCTTTTTGAAAAAACGATCAAGGCAAATTCATTTCGCTGCGGAGACAAGCGGAGGCCTCCTCCTCGACAGCAGTGCCGGCGCCGCCAGTGTGGAGATGAAGCACGGCGGGCGTGACTCAGCACATCATAATTATATTATACATTCAAATTGATTCTGCACATCCCTGATAGCGATACATGTAACCTTCACTGCTTTGCTCAATTAGGGCCTCTAACGATGGCCCACAATGAGCGAGGAATGAATTGGTGCTGTTGGAGGCCATCAAGGCAGAGACCTTTAATCGATGGCACGCGATCGACTGGTACTGCCTTTGAGATCGACGTATTGATTGTGCCGCGTACGTAAAGTTTGCATGGAGTACTAAAGTTCGTCGCCTTGTTGCTGATTACAGAGCCTCTGTGATGCTTTCAGGGGAAAACACTTGAAGAGTGAAGCTGAAGCGTCTTTAAACTTCTGCCTTGTTGGTCAGTTTAGGATCTCAATCTTCTTTCTTTCGATTTTGCTTCTAAACAGCATGATAACACAATGGCACAAGGAAGTTTGAGCACGTTTCACCGATTTTAGTTTCACTCCACTAGTTACCCGTGCATTTTAGAATTTATTTAAAAATTCTTTTATTTGCTTTTAAATCTCTAAATGGTCCTGCCCCACCGTACCTCTCTGAACTTCTGCCCCCCCCCCACACACCCAGCCGATCTCTCAGGTCAGCTGACCAGCTGCTGCTGAGGGTTCAGAAAACAAGGCTGAAGCTCAGAGGGGGCCGAGCATTTTCTGTTGAAGTTCCAAAACTTTGAAACGAGCTGCCGCTGCACATTAGACCTCCTCACTGTCTAATTTTAAAACTCTTCTTAAAAAGCACCTTTTTTCTTTGGGTTTTAACACTACGTAGGTTGTTGATTTTATGTGCACAAGTATTCTATCTGGGGAGGACAGTCGATTTATTTATTATGTTTTACTGTGTTTATTTTATTGTACAGCACTTTGGGAACCTTTGTGTTCATTTTAACTGTGCTTTATAAATGAAACGGATTGGATTGGATAACCTTGTTCAGGAGAAAAATAAAGTTAGTAATAAACCAACAGTGAGCACAGGGCCTTCACCCAGATTTATTCCAACCATTCAGGGACTTAGCCAGGCAACTCTCATCCCACCGGCTCCACCCGTAAGCTTCCACTGCCCCAAACAATTACTAACATGTACTGTATATAAATGCTTTTCTTTTCCATTAAAACACCAAAATGTCGCCTCCTTCCCTTTTGTTTCCCGGCTTATTTTGCTAACCATCCCCCAAAAAAGGAAAAAAGCACTTTTCGACTCTGGGCTCAAGTCACCGCTGATCCTTTATGTTCGACTCAATTAGTCTCTTTTCTGCCGCCAGCGCAGCATGGGAGGCAAGACTGGGCACGTATGCTGGCTTTTTATCTCATTTTTGAAAGAACATCGCAACATTAACAAAAAGACTACAGCGGAGTCTTTTTGTTAATAAGACTCTGCTGTAGACGGGAAATAAGGAAAACTAAAAGCAAAAAAAAAGCTGGCGACATGCTGTGGTATGTTCAACTTTAGCAAGCGGCTCATTGCTGAGGGGACTGTGAAAGCGAGTCGTTAGGAAATCATTCTGCAACCTTTCTTTGTAAACGCACATAATCAAGGACTTGATGAAGAAATGGATTTTCCTTTGAGTGTCTTTGGGTCATCGCGTTGAAACCAATGATGTTTTAAATGCAACTACTTAAAAAGCGGACGCCTCCTTTCTTCCCACAGTGGACTGAAAAGGGAATGTGGCGAATACACACACAAAAGAAAAAGCAAGAAATACGTGGCGTTGGCGAACAAAGAAAATTAGCTTCATAACATAAGTGCGACGAGGCGTTGCTGTCCTTAAACGAGCAGACACACACACGCGTGCATTTACGTGCTTCGCCCACTTACCTTTATCGGCACGCACGGTGCTGACGACAAGGACGTTGAGGCACAGATGTTCATGCAATTGTCACACACACACAAACTGTAGCCCGTGGACGGTTGCCAGGGCAACCGTAGGCCACTGACAACGGGCTTATTGGTTGCATGAAGAGACTGTTCTCACAGGGCGCTAATGAAAGGCATTCATCATTCTGCTCGCTCTATCTTTACCACAGATATCTGACGACCTCTCTCTCTCACACACACATGCGCACACACACGCACACACCCTGCTAATCGCTTCTACGGTGGCACCCACAACTGTGTGTGTGATACACCAACTGGGGGGCAGGAGATAACATATTAAACATTCCTCCCGTATCCACCTCCTCCAAAACAACAGCGAACCAGTCTGTTCAACTTATTCATGTGTGTGTGTGTGTGTGTGTGTGTGTGTGTGTGTGTGTGTGTGTGTTTGAGATTGAGCTCTGGCTGCTGGAATAAAAAATTGCTAATCTGTTCATTGAGTATTCAACGAACTAAATGTTTCCCTTGGGGAAAAAAAAGCTGAGCTTGAAGGACTAATTACGTAAGTGCTGGATGTAATGTTGCTCTGTTCAACGGCTTAAAACAGTTTAGCTTTATTTTACAGTGAATGTGTAATACATGCTCGACTACTGGATGAAAGTAGGCTGGGCGGTACGGCCAAAAATCCATATCACGGTATTTAGAACGATTCTGACGGTATATCACATTAGGCTAACGCGTTTTCAAGTAAACACATTAATTGACCCCGAAAAGGGCCGAGGCTGCCCGAACTGCTCGCTGGCCAACTTGCTCGCAACTGGCCTGCGCTGCGAACAGCTGTTCGCTCGGCTGCTCCTGGTTACCCGGACAGCTGTTCGCTCGGCTGCTCCTGGTTACCCGGACAGCTGTTCGCTCGGCTGCTCCTGGTTACCCGGACAGCTGTTCGCTCGGCTGCTCCTGGTTACCCGGACAGCTGCTCGCCGCTAGCCGGCCAACTTGCTGCAACTGGTTGAGTTAGCTTGTTAGCGTGTTAGCTCGTTGTGGCTGTTAAGTGTTGCTGCCACAGGCTCGTCTAGGGTTGCCCCACGTCCCTAAAAATACGGAATCGTCCCGTATTTGACAATAAAATAGCGGGACGGGGTTTGTCGCGTATTTTCCGAGTTGTCGTCGATGCAGCATCCCATGCATACAATCCCCCGCCGATGTAAAAGTATACCGATAATCACCGGGGGATCGCAGAGTCGTGTAAAATAAATTCTGCCGCCTGCCGAAGAGCAACGTCAGTTGTTGTGGCGTAACACCGGTATGAACGGTACGTGATTCATACCGTACGGAAATATTATACCGGCACACCGCCCAGCCCGGGATGTAAGGGTACGAATTCTCAGATTCGTAATATGATATCCCAAATGCAATTAATTAGTGACTTAATTAATGCTAGTGGATTCTCATTGTTTAATAATATTGTAATGGTGGTGAGCCAGCTGGAGGAGGACGGCTGTTCTTCATTCATATGAACTTCACTGAGGATTACGATTTGCTCCCAGTGAGATTAATGCCTTGATGATTTTGCTGTCAGATGTTATTGTTGCTGCTCTACAAATCATATCTAGATTGTTTGATATATAGATGTATTATCATCCTATTCAATGGGTTTTTAAATTACTAAATAATAGAGCAAATAAACAAACCATAGGAATCAATAAAGAACCGAACTACAGAGTACAGAGAGTAGCTGATCTTAATCTGCGAATAGAGTAGAAGTATTGAAACGACAGCGATCTCTTTTATTGACAAAGCTGTGATCCCTGGACGGCAGGTATCATAGATCATGTATATTTCATGTTCTCTGATATTATATAGAGACATTAGTCATCAACTACTGACGGGCATGTTACAAATGCAGATAAATGAAGGAGTCTGGTGGGGAATGTTGATGCTGGGACCAGAAACGGTGTCTCCTGATAAAAAATGAAAATAAAACTCAAGAAAAAAATCAGTTTGTAAGAGAGAGTGAAAGGAAGGACTTACCTTGAGCGAGTCTCTGTCTGGGGAGGCGGAGGACAGGAGACAGAAGAATAGAGACTAATTAAGGTTTCATGTTTGAGTGAGGAGCGCAGTGATGACGGGCATCATTGATGCCAGTTAAGAGGTAGAAGTAAACACAGACGTTTCATGTTATTCTTGTCTGCAGCATGATTTGCCAAAATGACTCAGCCTTGCCAAAACAAAAAGGGCTTTCAGCATGAAATAGAACAAATCCATTTAAAAATACACATGTAGATCCCTCTCATTCCCTATATCCACTGCAGCTCAGCTAGAGGAGTCGACCCTTCACTCAGGCCAGCGCCTACAGCACCGCCCGGCTCTCCTCCACGGACCCTCAGGCCATCGTTTCAGATGGTGGAGTCGGAGCTAGTCATGTTGGTGATCACACAGAGAGGTTGGTGCCGTTAGTAAAGTACGTTAGCACACCTGTAACCAGCGATAGCGCCTCTGTGCTCTCGTAAACTTTATATGCTGCTCCAGCGTTTTAACGATTGTCACAGTGGAGGGGTCACTTGTGTAATTGGTATCGATTGTGCTTATAATGGAGGTAAGAATGCACTGCAGCTACAGGGGCAAGGATAAAAAATACAAAATAAACTCGCAGTCATGCTGCTGCAGAGTAATCAACATTGTCTCCGTCGTGCAGCCACATCGCGTTCTCTGTGCGCTGTAATTGCAATGCTCGAGCTCAAAGTCGGCTCGCAGAAGAATCAGCGGCGTTCTGCGAGCACGGAGGAGAAAGAGGCATCAAGGCTGCTTGTGTATCGCTCCTTGTCAGACCAATTAGAATGGCACAATGACAAATCAGTTCTGCTTTTCATTCAGACTACCAACGATTAAGCCAGTGGTATAAATCCATAACTGAATATTCCAAACATGTAAATTCGTATACGACCACTTCTTAAACAAAAGACAAAAGCTTCAGTGTTTCTGTTTATCAAAACACATTCAGTATCTGCACAAGAATGTTTTTTCATTAATATGAATGTGTTATATTTGGGTTCTTTGTATTTTCTAAATCTCAGATAGACCAAATTGAACTTTAGTCTACTATATTGACTTTATGAAGACGTATAATCAGTCCGTGTGCAAGAGAGGACGCAGCAATCTAATTAAATTAATATTCAATATTCTCCTCCCTTCCCAGATACGGTAAAGCAGAATTAAATGCAATAGTCTAATTGGAAAATGGAAGAGGAAGTAACCAAATATAAACTTTGACACACAAAGAAGCTTGAACAGTGTTGCTTGAACACACACACACACACACACACACACACACACACACACACACACACACAGCAGGGCGGGCCTTACCTCTCGGGTGATCACCGCTGTTGTCAAGGAGCTTCCTCTCGTCTTTGAGCGGCAGCTGGTGGCTCAGGGCGGACGACAGGGCCAGGAGGCTGGCGGTGGTGCCGGCCCCGGGGACCAGGGGGGGCTGGAGGCCCGCCGGGTGAGGCGTGAGTGGGACGGGGATGGCGTGGCCGTGGGACAGGTGCTGAGCCTGGAGCTGCTGCTGCTGAACCGCACACAGAAGCAATGGGTTGGTGTTGGGCAACGCTTTGCATGCAAGAAGATGAGAATATTTTCAGGAGTCCTCACAAAGAAAGAAAGTATGTTGGAGGAAATACACCTCTCTTGAATTGAAATATGATGAAATATATACGTTACAGTGAGAACCCCTTTCCATTGTTAAAACTCAACACATGATTTGTGCAAGAAGAATATTCATCCGTCAATCAACTAACTCCTCAGCGCTGTGGTGAACAAACTTGTGACACTGGTGTGTACTTATCGGTGTAATAGCGCTTAGAAGCTGTTCAGCAACTTGTAACAAATCTCCTTTTGCTGAAGAACTTGAAGCGTTAAATTCTCTTTAACTGCTAATAACGCAGAACTTTTTTCAGGCTTCTCGCTTCCTGGTTTTGGTACTTGGGTATCAACGGGTATCAAGACCTTTAAAACATAAAGATACCAGGCAAAATACATATCCAAGTCCTAGCCCAGTGTGTGGACAGCAATCCTGGAAAGTTTTACTTCGATAGAGTGAAGCTGAACTTCTCTAGAGCGACATTACTGGATCTTCTGGATTTAAAAAAAAATCTGGCTCTTGTCCGATTTGCACGTCTATTTTTAATTGTCAGAGCCGATTGGATCCAACTAGTCCCACGTGGAGCGGAGCGACAGCTCCCTCAGATGCACCTACTGCCATGTCAAATTCATCGTAGGTCTAACGTTCGTTGTGTCGCCCAATGATTACGTCACTCAATGAGTTGTGGAGATGTGTGCGGAAAAAACTCGTACTCGTCATCCAGCTGATCAAGCTAGCGTTAGCTCGCTACTAACAGCAGTAAAGCAGTTAGCAAGACTAAGACACGTTTTTATTTACTCGCCTTTTTTGGACGATTCATTTTTTCATGTATATTTTTTGTGCTTTGTCCCATATTGGTTATTTTTGAAAAATACATTTTTATGTGTTGTACTTTTTAATGCCATTTTTAAAAGTTCTGCACTTTTTTTACAATGTGAATTTGCAGTTCTGTTTTATAATAAAGTTAATATAAAATAATTGTTAGTTGCACCCGTATTCATCACTATTGCTGCAACTAAGTGATGCAGTCAGCAGTTAGTTTGGCTCAAGTTCTCATCCAGACTCATCTCTGTAGAACATGTATCTCTGTTCCGCCTTAAAGCTATTCCTATTACAGCGTGTGCATGTGTGTGTGCGCGTAGTACACCCACTCCTATGATGGCGTTGAGTTCAGCCATGGTGACCTGCTTGGCCCGCTCCACCGCCTGCACCACCTGCTGCTGATGCTGCGAGAGAGACAGACAGGGAAGATCTGAGTGAGCGGGACATTAAAAGGGACGCTTCTTAAGATTGCGACCTCTACCAGCAACAAGGACACGTATGAACGATTCTCTGGTAAAAACAACTTTACAGGTCAAGTTATCGCTGCTCTTTATTTTAGGAAAACCAGTGTGTTCAGTAGACTCACGAATAAAATGTTTTTGCGTGTAAACTGGTCAAGTCTGACTTTCACAGGTCAGTTGATTCCGTCTTCAGGGAGCAGAATTTGAAAACTCTCTGTCCAAGACGAACTAATACAAACATCCTGATACAAACTCCCATGATATCTCACAGAGAAACCAAATGTGTGAGCCTTTAATAACGTATGTGCTATAGTTGACATCAGCGACTTCCCTCAAACCAAACGCCATAACTGTGCACTTTATGCAGCTGGCCTGCGAGTTGTCGGAGTGGCGTAGTTGATTAAAAAAACCTCACGGGGAGAAAACCGCCATATTTGTGGAGACGGAGACGGATCCCCAGACGGAGACAGACAGGCTATGAGGGCAAAGTCATCCAAAGGGTGCGGAGAGAGACAGATCCAGACGGTGAGGGAGGGAAGCCAAGATTCAGTCGGGGAAGTGCTAAACATCAAAGCAGGGCAGAGAAGAAAGAGCTTATCCGCTGTGGAAATGAAGCTGACCGGCGGGTTCAGCGTCACCTCTGAACGACCAGCCTGACCCTCTGAACGCGACTCGCACACATGAAAAGATCCATCGCTCTGCTGGATATTGGGCTCTAAAGCAAAATGATCAATGATCCTTATAATTACAGACATGGGACAAACAATTTACTTTGACATTTCAGCCAGATCAGATGCTTAAGATTTAATCCAATCATTTATGTTACAGAAATGATACTCGATGGAGCGACTGCCGCTTTGATCGCTGCCTCAAAGTATTTGCAATAGTTAAGGGAGATGATGCAAAAAGCAAATCTAGAATTACGTACGTCTCCTGCAAGCAGTCAAGTCACACTTTACATTCATGTCTGACTCACTGCTTCATTTCATCGTATTCGACATCCGTGTGAAAATGTCATCACTAGAATTCTTTAAGTTATGGCCAAGAAAGATGTTTTGTAAGGTACCCGTACCTTTGCCTATCCAACTCTAGTCACCATTTACTCATCCAAGTGGACATTTGTGCTAAAATTCCCTCAAACTGCTCCCGAAATATTGCCCTTCGATGACCGTATTCTGATTTGTGCCAAATTTGCACAAGTTTGCTCGAGGCAAAGATAAAGATCACTGAACGCCATCACAACACGACTCTAAACATCGGCGGTTCTCTGTGACCAACATACACAGTAGAAGTATTACAGAAATATTAATAATGCAGAAATATGAATTAGATCCCTTCAGGAACTGTCACATCTAATAAAACAATCAAATTCATCACATCAGGGTGGCCAAATTGTGCTGGATATCAAAGCTGGGGTCGTTCAAATTATAATACTAAAATATAGCTTTTTTTACAAATAAATGTCTTGCACTGATACCTATATTGTCTGTGGCTGATTGGGCCAATATGGGAAATTGGATACTATTATAATAAATAACTATTATTATAATAAATAACAACTCAGTACATTCATACCTATGTAATCATCATCGTTCAAGGAAATAGGGTAGACGTTTTGCGTCAAAGAACAACATCAGTCAGTTTACTGATCTATAACACCATGATGTTTGTTTGCACGTTTGAAAGAAACAAAGCGGTAAAAAGCCGCCGCGTCCCCCCTGCCTCCCCTCGCGGGCCTCGGGGACGTGGAGCCGCACCGCCGTCTAATGCCATTATTCCTAATCCACCCTAAACCCTCCTAAACCATGGCTAATCTGGAGGAGAGGTTTTCGGAGTCCACACTTGCTCCTTCCTGCTGTTCCCACCCCTCAGCACACACACACACACACACACACGCACACACACACACACTTTCAACTCCTCCAGAGACAGGATTTACCAGCTAAACAAACACGCCTAAAGGTTTCATAATAAACACACTGTGTGAAACACAACTCCTACTCCCACCACCTGTTTATTTGATGTGCATGCAGGTGGACCCACACAGACACACACACACACAGGCTCCTGCATATGTTTGTGGGAGACATTTAATAAATTCAGAGCATATCTGCCTGTCCCAAACAGAAGGGATTAGCCGAGGATAATCTGTGTGAGTGTGTGTCCATATCTGTCGGTTTGTCCTCCCAATTCACTGCACACTTTTCCGTTGCTCTGTCTCTCGCCCACCACGTCTTACATCACAGCTATGGGCGTGTGTTTTTGATTCGGTCTTACCTCCTGAGAGAGGAAGGGGATGACTTGGGCGCAGATCGCGTTCAGCCGCTTGACAATCTCCGCCTGCAAGACAGTGAGGTGGGCGCAGACAAGACAAAAAGTCTTTAAAAATTCACCGAAGGGCCGAAGAGTTGGAGGCTTCCTCCTCAGACGACCGAAAAAGTATGCTCACTCAAGACAAGTGCAGCGCATGTTAAATTAAAGTAACGCCCACGGGTGAAACGTGAGTCATTTGATGCATTCTCAGTTGTTGAGCTGTAAGAAAAGGTTTCTACGGAATGTAGACGTATCTTTGCATGTTAGTTAGATTGTGAGGAAAGTCCATGGGTTAAGATTAAGAAAAGGCCTTTTTAAACACTTTGAGATCACATCCTCCTTGTTTTAACATTTTTAACAATATATTTCCCAAGAAATACAACACCATGTACCGACCGGTTCCAACAATTAATGTCATGACATCCATCCATCAATCATCACTCAATCATCCATTCAACAGCCATTCTGCAAAAAAATGTATTGTTTTATCTGTTGTTTTCACCACAACTCTTTGTGCACATTAAACTGAAATATTTGAGGCAAAAATCCATGTAGCATCAGCTTGTAGATTTTGGCCTCAACCAACCAGGTTCAAGGCAGAAAACTTTATCCGTCTTTTCAACCTCAACCAAGACCACAAAGACCTGATCCTCTCCTTCCGTTCTTACCATAGAGGGCAAGGGGCGTCCCCCACCATGAGGGACGAAAGAAAGAGGAAAATATATACATTTTTGATTAGCTTTTGTTGTTTATTATATTAAAAATACATTTTACAAATAGTCAATATTTGTATTTTTGATACGTGGATTATATACCCGGTATATAATCGGGGATTGAACAACGCCGACAGTCAGGACCTCTAGCAGCGTCACCGCTGCAGCAGCAGCAGGTAACTCAGCTCTGCAGACACCTCAGGCCTCGCCAGCACCAAACTCAACATCACAGTAACAATTGCCAAGTTTATCTGTAAAGACATGCAACCCTACAATGTGGTTGAAAATCCAGGGTTCTGTGAATTGATCCAAACATTGTGTCATTATTGTGTAATGTTTACATTGAAAATGTCACTTGATTAAAATAAAAGGTTCATACATTTGCCATTAATTGTTGTTTGCTTGTTTATAATATCCATAATTAATTTAAACCTGATTTCCTTACAAGAAACAACAGGAAACTCAGAAACTTTGCCTGCACTGTCCAGTAAAGTTACTGAATCGATTTCAAGTCACTGAATCAAATCAAATCGTTCTAAATGAACCCAGATCGTCCATGAATCGAATCGGCAACCATGAATCGTGATTCCAATCGAATCGTTGTTAAAATGAATCGTTACACGCCTAATGTATATATATATTCATACTGAACTGTTTGAATAATATGTCCTTATTATGTTAAATATTTAACATTTATTCGAAAAGTTTAACTGCAAACTAATAATGCGTGTTTGATACCGTTTGCATGGAATGTTGGGATGTTGATACTGAAAGTGATTGACTGGCCCTACCAAAAAAAGAATCCACCAGCCGCCACTAGATTTTAAACAGTATACATTTGATTTGATTGCAAACTCTGCTCATTGGCTACAAAAATACAGATTACCAAACTCGAGAACAGCAGATCAACCACACACCACGATGACGAAGACCACCACCTTTTAATTGAAAATAAAAACACAGGATTTTGTCACCTTGAGAATTTGGAGGATTTTGGAAGAAAAGAGTGCGCACTTTTTTGAAAAGCGTAATATTTTTGTCATTTTATTTATGATATTACTGCTTAAAAAAGCCATCACGGGCTGAGTTAGTTCCTCCAATTCGAAGACGATGTCACGGGCTCGTTCCACGTATACAACCTTGACAGAGGTGATCTCAGGCATCGGTAGAAACAGAAGCCACCCTGGAGGCCACGAGCGCAAACCTTCAGACGCCCACCCGCCGATACAAACCCGTGATAATCTGCGCCAGGAAGGTTATGGCAGGAAGGTACACATAAACACCACCGCGCTCACACGCAGCAACACCCCTCCACAGCCTTCTCTGTATTCATCAGATGGTTTTACGCAACCCGAGGGGCGGCTTTTAAAGATTAGACAGCTCTCTCTCCACATCAGCTAAGATTTATTTTTCTCCTTTTTTTTACAGGAAATTGTCTGATCTACTGTCCCAAAGGGAGTGATAGCAGTGCAACTGAAATCCAAACTCAAACACAGGAAAAAAGATAGACTACAGAACCACATACTAAACGGCACAAAGGGAAGCAGCGTTTGTTTTGTTAGAATAAATATAACTATATAACAGAAAGTCCCTGTAGACCAGATGGTCAGAGAACTCTCCCGCGCTCCAGATTTTACAAAAAATTTTACTTTTTCATTTTCATTATAGTGATTGTAAACACTTGCCGTGTTCTGACTTGACTATTGAAAATCCATCGGCAAAGCCAAAACAACAGGATGCAAACAGTGCTGCAACTACCGCTAGCCACAGGACGGAAGTCTGAACAAACAAGTCCAAAGCCAGGTCAGGAAAAGCAGCAAAGAAGCAGAAAAGCCATAAGCACCATTGACAATCTCGCTGGGAGTGAGTGGAAATTGGCAGGTTACAAGTTGTCAGGTTGCAGGATACTGCAGAGCTGATGAGGCAAAGCGGTACGGTGACAGGGACGGGAAATGGGTAGCGAAGTGGTAATGAGTGGGCCAGAGACGGGACGGAAGCTTAAAGGAGGCAGAATGGGGAAGTACAAACTTCTGAGGGAGCCACCGCGACACCGTAAAACAAGATACGGGAAAGTTGTACTCAGTAAAGTAAATCTCCGCCAGCCGTGTCTGCAATGATCACTGCTGTATCGGGTTGAATTAATCAACCAAACCGCCTGCCTGCGTCGCAGCGGCTGAATGGCGGCAGTGTGCTCGGCCGTGTGCGCGCTGCTAGTTCCATCAATCGTTAGAGGTTAGCAAAATAAACACTGAGCAACAGTCTGCAAACGGCTTTGTGTCCCCATGGTGCCTTGCAATCGAAGGATGGCGGTCGGGAGGCACAGTGTGTGAACTGCTCGTTCTGTTAAGTGTGTTATTTGGAAAGGTATGGATCTGCAAGAACTACGAGCGATGGAGGTGGGCTGTTTCTACAGGAACCGAAGACTGCGTTGAGTGGATTGTCGAGAGGAAATCTCCAAGCCTCGACGGGATCAGACTGAAAGTAATTCTGCGCCTTGGGGACCTCCTTCGGCCAGCGCTACATTAAGCTCCATCAATTTTCTGTCACTCTACTAATCAATAAATCATTTCTGGGAGTACACTGGAGATCTCCATGACACCAGCTTTCAGAGAGTACATGTCAAAGTACCTTAAGTTAAGAAGAACTGTATTTTCAATAAATGCAAAGGAAAATACTTTTACAGAGCAATTCCAGCTGCAGTGTATTAGTGTGTTTTTAGATCAGCAGAAAGTTCTGATTTATTTCTCTCTGCAGAGACAAAAGACCTGTGCTCGGCACTGATTAAGTTTTTACCATTTAGACTAGAAGATTAGTCAGAGCCAAACCAAACGTAACAGCAGAAGCATGAATTCAATCTGCTGACATTTGAGGGGGGAATGCTCTGAATAGTTCCACCGTTAGCTTCACAATTCAACTATTCGCCAGTTCTCTAGTTTTGTTAATGAGACTTGTAAAGACTTCCAAGGCAATGGACACACACGCGATGCCTGAGAATCAGTCGGGAGTCATTATTGCGTTTACCTGTGATTAACAAAGTCCTGCACACCTAAAACACGGACATTTTCCTTTAATATTTAACGTTTATCCAGGGAAGACTGGCTGTGCACACATGCCCTTTTACAGCTTGGTTCAGTTTAACACACACTGTCTCCCCAGTGCCCAGTACATATTAGCCTCTGGGAAACTCCCCCGTAGTTGTTGGTTGGTGCATTGCTCAAGGGTACCTTAGTTAGGTGTGTGTGGAGAGCAAACGGCCATGAACAAAATATTTGTCCCTTAAGAACTGAATGACTGAAAAAAAGCATCTAGCATGAGGAATTAGATGTTCAAGGACACAATGAATGGATGGCAGTATCACTATTGATTTTCAAGTATTTGAGGGAGGAATTGTAAACTTCTATTGGAGAGGTTTGAGCAAGTCCACCTGCGGCATCATTTTGAAAACGCCAAAAACGTGACACCTACGCTCGCTTGGAAACTAGCAGTATGGGTCACGGCTTTTGATGGATTTGCCATTTATCAGACCGCAGATGAGACAAGAATTACATCCCCGCGGCCCCTCGGCCTCACGCCCCACCGCTGGGAGACGACGTTGCCGAGAGGAGGGAGGACGTGGTCTCCTGAGGCTGCAGGCTGGAATGCAGCGGCCTGCTCGCCTCTGTTCTCTGGCTGTTCTGTAACCAGAGTAACTTTAGCATGGAAGCACGGTGGAGTTAACAAGCTAACCAGCTAGCAGCTAAATGAGTAATTGCTTTGTCAACGTGTCATTAACGCCGATTCCCATTCGCTGGTGTCATGTGATGAGCGCTTCGTGTAAAATCCACAGAAAGGAGAGCAGGCTTGTGCTTTGTTTGTAAGGCCACACAGTGGTAGCAAATAGGCTCCAACCGAAGTAAAGCTGCGGATCTCACAACAACTACAACCAACAACCTGAACCGCCGATCGATTCTTGTTGAAGAGGTGAACCTGAGACGTTGGCACGGAAAAGGAAACAAAAGTGGTGGAGCAGAAAAAGGAAATGGAGACGCTTTTTGCCCCCGCCAGGCAACACAACCAATTTCAGGTGACATTTTAACATCAATGCCCGACCAGTGCGACTGTGGACCGGAGTGCATGGGAAGTCATCCGGTTTGGCCAACCACGTCTGCCAATACAACAAGCAAAAGCGAAAATGCAGGGCCACTTTTCCTTTTTTTTAAGTGTCCTGTGGATTGTGTAAACCTAGAGATTTTGTTGTTTTTGTTGTTGTTCTGCAGCTGGCAGGCCTCGACTTCGACCCGAACCTGTCAAACGCCTCGACAGCAGATAAATAACGAGAAACGACTTGCCGGAGAGAGTCCTCTAAGGTGAGGACTCAAACTCGGGTCGATCCAGCGAGCTTATTGCCAGATTAGAAGACTCCGCGGTCACATAAAGCGGAGCAACCTCAGAGGCAAGATCATTTGCGCTGAATTTATCTTTGACCCTCTCTGTGTGAGTCGCCCAGAGAAACGTTCCTCCAGCTAAAAAAGCAAGTGGGGGGTGAATCAGGCAGCAGGCAGCGTGTGGGTAACATCAAACTTATTCGGCCCCTTGGTGATCGGATCAAAAACATGCACCGACTGCCTGACTTACATGGACAGTTACAAGGGCTGTATTTGCTACCGGATATGCTTTCATCGTCTACCTGAGAGCACCTACTTGCCATATTGTAGCTAGAACAGCACAAAATAAGACCCTCGCAATAACCACTTATTTCCAGAGATATTGCACAAAAACATGAAGGAAAACAGCCTAAAATACTCCTAATAGCAAAGGAATTAGATTAGGCAGGAGCCCCAGAGTCAGATTGGGTCCGAAAGAAGATCAAATGTCCATCTCCCCTTTGGAGCATTGTAAGCACCGCATCAGCACCACTTTCCACCACCAGCTAATACACCTAATGGACCCCACCATATAAAGGCTGTATTCCCTTGTGAGTGTGAATGTGTGTGAGTTAAAGACACAAGCGGATCGGTGGGTCGGACAGGGAGGATTAGACAAAGGGCGCCATACGGAGTTAGTGCTTCGTGTAAATGATGCAGTTGTTTTTTGCACCTTATCAAAAAGGTCCACCAGCACCCGTGTCTTTATGCTAAGCTAAGCTAACTGGCTGCTGGCCATAACTTCATACTTAGCAGAGGGATACAAGTGGTTGTGGTCTAACTGTCATCAAACTACCTTTCATCCCTTGCTTAGATTAATTCTGACCATTTTTGTCGGATCCCAAAGCCCAGGTTGAGGTCCCAACTTTACCTGACACACACAGAAGGATAACCTGATCTGAAGATTTCTAAATCAAAAAGTGATGGATTTGTATTTGTAAACCATCAGAAAATATGAACATCTTTTTTAAATGGTATTTTCTGTCATTTAAAAAAAGTTAAGACGCGCTATGTTCTTCTAAATGCATTTTCCGAGACATTACGTGACCCAAATCCTCCACAATAAAAGAATGTCCCTCTCTGCTGCCGTTTAACGAGTTGTCAGTCCTCATTGAAAACGCTGCCAGTCTTCTGCATCAAAAGGCCTCATTACTTCCTTCTCTCGCGCTCTCCCTCCCCGTCCCCTCGCTTGCTTTATTTCTTTTTTGGGCCCCGCTAATTTGCAATTGATTAGCTGTCCTCTTGCGGCTCTCGGACCCTTTCCCCCGCCTGGCCGTCCTCTCCTCCATCTAGGAGTCAATTTGTCTTTAACGAGGGGCAGCGGGGCCCTCTTGTGTAAATAACACGGGGAAGAGCCGAACAATTAAAAAAAATACATCAATGTGGCCTATTAGCCTCGGAAAATGCTAAGCAAGCAATATTAACAATCCGCCTCATCCTCCACTCAACGAGCCAGGCGCGGCGCATCCGCAACAGACACACCCGAAGTACCGGTGCACACAACACATCCTGCACATCAAACTCGCTTGCTTCCAAACCTCACACACACACACACACACACACACACACCCCGCTGGCAGAAATAAGGGATGCTCTCTCCAAAACGGCTCCCTGACAGAAATCATTGGGCACCACGAGGAGCCACAGGCCATATTTCACCTCTTTTATATTTGTTCTCCCCTTCCCCCCAACAACACACACACACACACACACAGGAACACAAACACACAGAAGGATTTATAGAAGACAACCCCACATGTATGATCACACAGGTCTGATTAGTGTGCCGGTAAAAGGTTGCATGTGTGTGCGATTTTCACACACACACACACTCAAAACAGAAGATCCCGCAAAGACGAAAACACACACGAGAAAAAGGTTTCCCACAGATTAACACACAGTACGAGCACGAATACACAAAGGCAGACACACACAACTAAATAAACAATCATAGGGAGCGTGCACACAAATGCACACACACACTACAGTCAGCAAACATGTTCGATGTGATGTTACATACAGGCTGGTTTACCGGTTCCCTGAAACACGGTGAACATACAGTACAGATACACAGACACGCCGGAGCAAAGGCAGAGCATTTATCACCTGCTCGCACACACACACACACACACACACACACACACACCATTTCTGGGGATATGAGCACGTAGCTGGTTTACCAGCCATGTAGCCTGGCAGCTCATGTGCAGTTAACACAGACATTTTTGCTAATGACCCACGGCGGTGAAAAAAAAAAAAGAGGCTAGAGGTAATGTGAAGGCTCGTTGAAGTCCTTGTGCACGCCGCTCATTTTTCAGCCCATATTTCTCATTCAATTTAGCTGATGAAATCATTATTCATGCTTGGAATTACTTTTACTGCTTTTCTTTTTTTTTAACCCCGTAAACCACATAGATTATGAAATTTCCTGGGTGTGCCTTTTTCCCCACTGCATTTAAGTCACAGCCGAGCAAACCGTTTTGGGCGATATTTGAAAAAATAAAAAGGTGGTTTGATATATCTGGCCGCTGTGCTGAAGGTATTTCCAGAATCTTCCCAAATGCTTTTAACCCTCTGGATTCAAAGAATAAAGATTCTGTGTGTCGCTCTTTTTACCATGTTATTCCAAGACGGTTTAGGGAGCCAGAAATGACTCTTCTATTAAAACAAGAGCCAATATGAATGCGTTTGTGTATGAAAAGAAACTGATATTTCTTTCATTTTGGTTCACATTGTACATGTTAATGCAAAGAGTCCTTTCAGGCTACAGTCTGTGAACAGAGCAGTTTGTTAAAATAAAGATTTCACCATACAACAAAAAGACTTAAGACTTGTTTAAATATGTAAAAGAAACATCTGATGGTTTCAATGGTTCAAGCGAAATCTACGGACACAAATAGAAAGAGGAGTTGAATAAACATGTTTTTTGTTTTTTGTCCTTTCCATTGGGGCTGATAGAAGAAGTGTTCTTTGTCCGTACAGCATCGGCTCCACAGTTTGTACGAAAAGTGGGGCCTCATAAAACATGGTGGGACATTTTAAAACCTGAGATACTTCAGGTTTGTTTTTATTCCAAACTGACTGCAGATTGGCCTTTCTAGCAAATGAACCTCGTAGCCCCAGCAGCGATCAATAAATCATCTCCAACTCCACAGACCAGTATAAATATTTTACAAATCTGCAGCAACTACAGATTTCAAAATGTGGTTCTCGGTTTTGTAAGTAATAAAGGAACATTTCTTACCTGCTTGTGCATCTCGATGTTAAGTCCGTACGACATTTCGTAGTACTGAAAAAAAAAAAGATGAAAGCAAGCTGAGGTGAAACCAACGTGTTGCTTTTTTAGAACAAAGCTAAAAATACTGATGGGTCCACACACACACACACACACACACACACACACAGACGCACTGAAACTCACCATGACATAGTGTCTCTGCATCTCGGTTTTCTCACTGGCCAGTTTCTCACACTCCAATTTCAGACTGTGGGGCAGAGGGAAAATGGAACATTTGTGTCAATCAAATGAAGATACTCGGGACAAAAATGATTTCTCACCCGAAAACAAATTTACAAAACCTGAGCCGGAAGGTGACTACATCCTGTGGCTTTAAATTTCCATTCTGAAACTTTTGGAGTGCAGGAAAAACACTCCGAACAGACAGAGACACTTACTCAGCAGCGCAGTAGTTAATGGAGTAGTTACAGGATCAATAAACGGCCGCGCGGACCTCATCGTGTATTCTTTACAGTGTGAGCGGATACCCAAACTGCACCGTTGACAAAAAGGTGATCATGTAATCAGGATGCATTTTACAACTGTGGTTAGACAGAAGCTTAACTGTTTCTGTTAATGGAAAAAAAAAATCACAACAGCAAGCTCATACAGCTAATTGCTGTACACGTCAGGGTGCTGAGCGCAGAACAAACAGAGAAACTTCACGTGTAACAGAATCCAGGGAGGATTTCTGGCACAAAGAGATTCAGATTCTTGATTACTTTGAGGTGAAGGAGCTCGACGGGCTGCGTTTCCCAGCAGGTCGGGCTTGTACTCAGCTAGCACACATCTCCAGTGAATGTCAATACGGTAGATTGGATAACTTTCACAAATGTTTCATAACTTATAGGGAGAGTGGGGCCTTGATCTTCTGATGGATGTCTACCTCAAACAGAGAATATTTTGTTTCTCAGTCACATCCACGTTCAAAGATCAGTTTTTTGTCGCTTCTCATGCTGTCGCATCGTGACTTCTGCTCGGTACAGTTTGACCGGAAGTACAGCACCACGGAAATGATCCTCTGCCTCATGATGTGGATGCTTCACTCCCGCGAGCTGGGAATAAGTCGTTGATTGGCATGTCACAAATAAGGCTTCCCTCTCGTGTCCCCGGTCCAGACAGTCAAACGGAAAGTCCCAAGTGAACCCCGATAAAAAGGCTCGAGTCCAGACTGACAAGTCCCAAGTCCTTCATTTGGAGTTCAGTGCTAAACAAGCCATAATGTTCTTCACCAAATATCATGGGCTGAGTAGTGTTAGCGTTTATCCTGAAATTGAATTGATTTGTGACATACTTGGTAACCTTTGGGCTTTGGGGAAAGGTATTAAGTTGCAACTCTTTGATTTTGACTCACATCCACAGTCCACACCGCTCAGTTGATAATAATAGTCTACGACTGCAACCAACCATCTTTTACATTAGGAATTAAATTACTGATAATTTTCTCAATTAATCATCTGAAAATGCATGCTGTCACTCTTCAGCACCAATGCAAAGCTGGACCCTTGTGATAACATCTGTATCGGTGTTTTGCAGATGAGCAGATGTTTCCTTGGCCATCCAAACCTCTCACCTGTGATACTGGGCTTGCAGGAAGTGGAACTCCTCCTTGATCCGGTCGCAGGACTCGGTGACAGTGAACTTTAGCGGCTGTCCCGGCTGGTGGGGAACCTCACCCCAAAGGCGAAAGGCGCGTCGGTAGGGAGGGAGGGGAGGGGGGGAGAGAGAGAGAGGAACAACTGAGCCACAAAAGTTCAATGTCACAACACACAAACACACACAGACAAGACTGTAATGGACAATGGGCCTCTGTGATACGGGTGGCCTTTCGGTTTCACTCAGTCTCCTTACACGTTTGCCCACGCACACGCGCGCGCACGCACACACACACACACACACACACACACACACACCCACACACGCACACACACACACACACACACACACACACACACACAGCTGCAGCGGTTTGACAATGAGTGCAATTGTCCGTGCGAGCGCGCAGTGGCACGAGAAACTTGGATCTTAACTCATTACGCGCCAAGCGCGCGGCTGTTAATGCGCGCAGATTTGGACGCACCGCTTCATCCGATGGCGCTCTCTGTACTTACCGGATGCCGGGCCGGGGGGTACATCTTGCTCAGATCTCGTATCATTTAAAAAAGCGGAGCAAAGTGGATCCACATACACGTGGGAAACAAAACGTGCGTGCACTGATCCTTCTCTCTTCGTGCGTAAACAAAGGATGTGTCAGTGACCGGTGCGAGGCGCGTGGGTCCCGTGAAGAGTGGAAATATCCTCGGACCTCTGGCCGGCACTCATTCTGTTCCGACAGTAGAGCAAAAGTTTATTCGGAGGAAGAGTTGACTCAGCCCCAAATCTCCAGCGCGCGATTCTGCGCGCACAAAACTGACCGATTCCCCCCCTAAACTACAACGAAATCCTCTATTTCCTCTGATTGTATCTACAAAGCAGCGACTTTTGACTCATCGTGACGTGGGCTTCTTCCACGGCGTGCCGTCGCCACGCGGCGCATTGGTTCATATCTCCGCAGAACCCGCGTTCATGTTCCACATCCCGGCCCGACCGCTGCGTCCTCTGGAGCCCGGCTGCGTCCTCTGGAGAACCGGCTGCGTCCTCTGGAGCCCGGCTGCGTCCTCTGGAGAACCGGCTGCGTCCTCTGGAGAACCGGCTGCGTCCTCTGGAGAACCGGCTGCGTCCTCTGGAGCTGCGCAGTCAAATTCAGAGGCGCGAGCGCAATTTACACGTTCACACCAATTACGAGAGCCCGCGTTGCGACGTCGGGACGTGTAGTTGAATTCTTATAAATCAATGACGAGCACTACAGATGAGCGTCCGCTGCGAAGAACTACAACTTCCCTCCACCACCCAAAAAGCCAATGGCGCACTGAGGGAGGAGCGACCATTACAGACGACCAATGGCAACGGATGAGTGCGCACTGAGCTCCATCCTCGCGCCAATCATCAATGTGTCGTCCAATCGCCTCCAACTGGGTGCAATCCAGGCAGACTCCCCACGTGGGGGCCCCCGGTCTGGATGTCACGGGGATTAATCTGCCAACTATCTGTTGATTCGAGTGTTATTTTTTTCCACAAAGGCTGAAGATAGAAGCGAACGCAGGTCGAGGTGTCTAATGTTCTTCTTTTTTTTTTTAATTTAATCGCAAATAAACAGTTTGACATTAGTTTCCCGGATTGTACTCCTCCGGCTGCTTGTAGATTATATAAAATATGTGAAAGGTCATAAGGTCATACATTTCAATTAGAACTATGATTAGTACAAAGATCAGTTGGATCAATGCTTAAAGGTGCAGTCCATCCCCACACCGTCTCTCTCCTTGTTCAACAAACCCCACAAAATGACCTGTTTGCAGAAATCATGACCTGGTTATAAAAGTTAGAATTCTACAGTGTAGACACACACATCAAATATTAATCAATTGAAGGTACAAAACATTAGCATTTCTCATTTTCTTAGAGCAAGACATTATGATGCAACATTTGAGAGTATGTCATATATTCATTATCAGATTGTGATGCATTAAGGTTTGCATCACGCAGAGTTTATCTATTTTCTACTCAGCTGGTTGGCTGTGGAATTCCCATTCCTCCGTTCAGTTAAGTCTAATCTTATGTTATAATGAGGGTACCCAAATGTATTTGTTTATTGTATTAACAAAAATGCTAAAGGGCTGTAACTAAAGTTAGGAATAAAATGTCAAATTCTATTGGAGTATGAAGCAGAAAAGGAGAAAAATCATAAACATATTGATAACTAGACTCTCTTTCTCTGTGTTTCTCTCTCTCACACACACACACACACACACACACACACACACACACACACACACACACATGTGGGTGGAGGAAACGACTGCTGGGGGTGAGCTGCTTGGCTTAACACACCGTAGTCAGAACGCTACACCAACCAACCGCGTCCACTACCAATCTGCTGCATCAAGCCTTACGTTCCTTCTCTGCCTCTCTGATCTCCTCTGGCGGCTGACGTTTTCTGCCTGTGTGCCTGATAAAAGCCGCCGCGTGACAAAGGGCACGACTTCATCCTGGTTCCACTCAAACACCCGCGGGCAGACAAACGGGTATTCACGACACGACACCCCGATCCATCTCTGTCCGTCCGTCCGCTTCTGTCCATCTGTCCTCCATGTCGTCCCTGCCGCTCCCCCACACACATACACGTGGCGTGTGCACACATAGCCGGCGCCTCAGCCATTCAAATACACACCTCCATCTACCGCACATACAAACTAATATCTCAGGTAAGCACAGGGGCCTAAAGTGCCCTGCTGTTGTTGGGGGGAATCCATTAAGGCTCGGAAAAGGTAATATCAAGCCCCCCCCCCCCCCAGTCCCTCCTCCAAGGGCTTGAGCTATGATGTGGAGGCGCGGGGAGGGGGACGGGGGGAGGAATAAACAGATTTATTTGCCTGCGCCCCTCTCTGATTATTTTGCCCCTGCCTTTTGTTCCAGACCTTATGAAACCCAAATGTCAAGTGAGGCGAGGGGCTTCATATCGAGGCCTGTCAATCACATCCCTTCGCGCACCTGAAGCCCCGACGCCGGATTATTGGCTTCAACATGAGGGCCGGCCGCCTCCGCTGCCAGCCTCAGGCGATGCGACGGCCAACTTGGTATTTCTTTTTTTTTTCTAAAGAGGAACTTCATTTGGCAGCTGATGCCCTGGGAAGATTGCACAGGGGCCGATTCCGAGGGTAACGCAAGCTAGATGTGTGTGTGTGTGTGTGTGTGTGTGTGTGTGTGTGTGTGTGTGTGTGTAGTAGGCGTGGAAGGCCGGGTGAGTGGCTTATCGGGGCGGAAGGGGATTAAGGGGGGAGCAGGTGGGTTTGACGCGGGCTGAGTTGAGTAAGGGTTATAAGAAGAAAACCCCGGCCTTAACATCGGCTCCTGTACACGTGTCTCTTAATCTTGCTGCAGCCATCTCTGGTTCCTGCATCCCCTCACTCACTCACACACACACACACACACACACACACATATGTATACATATATATATATATATATATATATATATATAAACACACACATATTTGTTGATCTCTAATATCATATATGCTGAGCTCTAATATCATACTCCCTCCCTATATTAATAACTTTGACATCCATGCAGAGGCATAGTGTTTACCCTCTGTCGGGCTTTGAAGAAGAACTCCTTCTGAGTGTTGTATTCCCAAAGAGAACACATGCAGGACTTCCCCCCAGGAAATTGCTGTTCTTGTTCTGTATGAAACCAAAGGTCAATGTGGTTTTATTTGTCATATAAACCGTGGTGCTATGAGCTACTTGGCGGAACTTTAAGCTGGTTATGAAGCAGTCGCTGTCCCACACAGAAGTCTCTCTACAATCTACATGAGAAAAGAAGGCCACCAGTGAGACAAGTTCATTCTTAATTCTGGTTACTGGAGCAACCAGGTCGGATTTTTCACACAACAGGTTCAAGAAAACTTCCAGTGGGTGCTGCTTACATTTTGAGAGATTATGGTTATGTTGGATAAAACTCAATTGCAAGGCAAAAGGTTTTCTCCTGCAGGAAAGTTGGATGAGCCCCAGTCCCAGCAGACCCTTACTTTCCACTTCCTGCTGAGCGTTGACATTGTACGTAAATTGTGAGATCTACAGTCTTTCAAATATAGACGTGACTGTGATTATCTAATATAGGTTATCTATTAGCGTGACTTTTTTGTTATTTTCTTTATAAATGAACGAAAACATTCAGTTGTCCAGGTGTTGCGTTATTCTGCAAAACTCCCATTTTTATTTCTACAGATGGATTTGGTGCTACAATTGTCAAAGCACGTATACCTCATCCCAGATCTGCCTTCATCAATATCCCAGCAAAAATGAATGCAACCTAATGTGTAGATGTGGTTATCCATTTCGTTATTAACGATCAAAGCCTCGCTGGGCGTGATGGAGGTGGGATGGATCCAATAGTGGAGGTGGGACGGATCCGATGGATCTAACCAAGTTATTTTTACCCCAAAAATAATCTTCTTTTCTTAAACCTAACTCAATAGTTTTGTTACCTAAACCTAATTTAATAAACGTTTCCTAAACCTGCCTAAATGGCTTTGTTGCCTAAGCCTAACTAAGTCCTTCATAATCCTTTTCTAAATCTAACTAAGTATTTCACAAACTCAGTTAAACCTAACTGAGCTCTTTCCTCTGAGGTGAAAGCTTGTATTGAAAAGACTTTACGGGTATGTAGCGGGTGGAAATTGAGACGCGTTGCCGGCTTTTGTAGGAAAATGCACAAAAAGGGAGGAGTAATTTATAATAGGGTTCTCATAACCCTTGGGTAGATGCAAAGGTAAAAGGAGAATATAGCATGTGTCTCAAATTGGATAGGAAAGATAAAAACAGACAACTGATTTTGCGACGTAATCCTGGTGTCCTATAGACTGGTGACAGACACATGCCCGTCCTCTTTATGTAGAATGATATCCTGTCTGTCACTGGCCATGTGTGTCGGGGGTTAAATGTCTAACTAATCACACTTCATTGAGCACAGGTCTGGATAATCTCCTGTCCTGAATGCAGGCTGCGTCCAAATCCCTCATGCTCGCCCCTTTAACACGTCATTAATCCCCGGCGGCCGCCCCTTTGAACAGGGAGCTTGTGTGAAGGGATAACCAGGCCTCCTCAGACTCAGATACGGGCGAGTCAGAGGCAGCTGGATTTACTGCACTACCAGCAGGTTAATCCCGCCTCTCCACTGTGTGTGTGTGTGTGTGTGTGTGTGTGTGTGTGTGTGTCTTTATTGGAGACTGTTAAGGATCGGCTCGATCCCAGCAGTGACTCTGGAGGAACATCAGCATCTGGTGCTCAAAGTCATCTACTCCCCCAAAAGGAACATACAGATGGGCTGCCATTTCTTTCTATTAGACTACAACTGGATTGATGCAAATGTTTGTGCTGATAAAAAAAACAAAAGAAAGAAAGAGACGGAAACAGATGACAAGCAGGCCGACAGGCAAAGATAAGGGAGACAGAGCGAGATGAGGCAAAATTAATTAGCAGGGATGTGGTGACATTGGGAACGACTGAAAAAAAAATAGAAAAGGAAATCCTGAGAGCCTAAATAATGCAGCGAGCTAATCATGCCATCAGCTTTTGCAGCGTTAGAATTAAAGTCTCCGTGTGACACTTTATTTAAAAAAATAAAAAAAATAAAGATAGCAACTTGTGGACTTGCAAAAATGACCCCTATCAACCATTGCTCGTGACCTACTACAAGTCTGTATCACAAGATTTTCTTGTGTCAACCAAAAAGAAGTTGGATCGTAAACTCATAGCCAACAGGAAGCAACAAAACACTGTTGAAAAAAATGGAGAATTTCAAGCAAAATCATAAAGCTAACAAGACCTAATCCAAAAAGACTGTTGTGTTTCAAACAGATACATGCTTGTGCGTTAAACAAACTACGCAACGGCCACGTGAAAGTGAGCTAAAACACGCTGTGGCAACCCACGGGCGCAGCACTCTGGACAGCGCCTCAAGAGAGCAGCACAAAGGGCAGGGGCACCAACGAGCAAGAGGTCAGGTGACCAAAAGGGGAAACACCCCGCCCCCTCAGGAGACAACGAGCGGCCCAGCTGCAGCTCATAAGGCTGATGAAGGTTGGCCACACTATAAAAGACCAACCAGTCCAACAGCCCGGGAGACAAGACGTGAGTAGAAGCTGGCTTCACGCTGGGTTTTTTTTTTTTTTTTTTGCATGAGTGTTAAATCCTGTTTTTTTGTGCTTCCTGCAGGAAGGAGACCAAAGGCTGGACGAACCCGTTGAACCGCACCCGCAAAAGAGTTATTTTGTACGTTACAATACATCATACCCTTTCC